ATAAGATCTTATTCAACAGTAACAATACAACCATCTCTACTCGTATGCCAAATCATGATATCGATGATGTAATAGTATCCGTTATAAAATGACGAACTTGAGGCAATCGGATTATATCCCCACAATCAAATGACTCTTATATGTTAGATTATGACATCATTGATGGAATAATATCATTTACATAATGATGATGACCATAAAGATTAATGCAATCAGTCTCGTATGTCGTTTGATTGAGCATGTATGAAACAATACCAAACCACATACCATGCACCCTTAGTCATTAGACAATTAAGATTGTATTTGCATATTCTTTTTTATTGACAAAAGAGTGTTCTCAATTTGCAGCACTTGATCGATCTGATATCAGCAGTCAAGACAGCCACTTTTTGATAGCTTTTCGTGGCTGAATAAGGTTATTCTTTTGAAATAGCTGCCATCCGAGTTTAGCTTCGACCCACAAAGAACAGAACAATGCAAGATGGAAAGGACTATATATACACTGGTAATACATATTGATATGACCGCATTCTTTGATGCAAAGGACTATATATACACTGCTAGACGCTAGTAGTGAGGATATGCTCTTTTTGTGTTTGTAATTATATATGGTTATGTCTTCGATCAGTGCACTCATTTTTTTGGGTGCATTCAATGCACTCGTCTAATAATCGTCATTTGGGACAGACAATTTATGTGAAAACGATGTCAATCTTCACTTATGGTATGATGAACAAGAAACACGAATTTGTACGAAAATCATTCAATATCTTACTTTAAATTGAATGATTTACGATTTAGGAATTTAGGGTTAGGGTTTATAATTTGGGGTTTTGGGTTGGGATTCAAAATTGAAGGTTAAAGGGTTAGGATAATGGATTGTTTAGTTGTGATTCTATGTTATATTATCATATTATGCTAATGCTACCAATTAAAGTTCAAAATTTGATGTATTATGATCACTGTTAGAGTTGGGTGCACCTAAAAAATTAAGTGCACTGAAGTAGTCACTATATATATATATATATATATATATATATATCAAATGAGACATGACTTCCCCAGAAAAACTGTGATTGGAAATCACAGTATGTGAACTATGATATTTGATGACACAAGAGTCGCACGACTTTGTCTCGTTACGTCCATTCTATCGTTAATGTGACAGACTATGCAACTTAAACAGACTTGTTATGACATGTCGATCGTTACAGCCGTCAATCTGACGAAAGATCGAACGAGATGGCTCGATCTGCTAAACGGTAAATCTCGAATAAACTAATGAAACTGTCTATATCTACTTCTCTTGTTTGAAACCATGGCCGTACGGTTAGCTTTGACCTTACAAAAGGATACTTATCAAATCTGATCACCTCTTAATCTAACTTCCAGCTTCCTGGCTTGTTTGTCTTCCCATTTGGCGGCTCTTGGGAACCTAGTTGGGGTGGGCTCAAGACTCTAATTATCCGCCATGCATGGTTGGTCTACTTACCAAACGGCAATGATTCCCTTCCCTTTATACTTTTTTGGGGCCAAAAGCCCACCATTCCTACCTTTAATAAGGCTTTAATTAACCTTCTTTTCTTCCATTGATGGTTTACGTTTGGCTGACGTACGAGTTCTCCTTTAGTTACATACATGCACATGCACATCCACGAAGGAGGGAATTTGGGCTATGAAACTCACTTGAAGTAAATAATGCATTATTATTAGCCTATAATGCTCGAGAAATCATTGTATATAAACATCCGAATTATTATTATCCTAAAGCATCATATATGTGGCTTCCCAAGTTGTCTTCCCTTTTCTTACCAAGTCGTCAATTGTTTTTCCTCGTTGTTTATCATTTGATTTTTCCTTTCATGTTTCGTGTCTGTGTTGGCTAATGCAATTTGTGTGCAAACAACACTGTTTCCACAACAGGAGACACGTTGTGTACTATGATTGGTTGATATATCAAAACTTAATCCTGATAATTAGGGCTTAAACCCACATTTCTTCCACGTAAGTGCCTTTGTATATATGTTTTCTCTTGATTTTGCTTTCTCAAGCTACTCAATCTAAGAGGTTCTAATCTTTTCCTTGCTGTGCAACAATGGGTTAACCAAAGAAAGGAAAAGAACATGATGGAAGAGCTAAGAAGAGAATGTTGTTGTTGATTTTGGACGACAATCTTATTTAGTTGATGCATGTTTCATATTGAGGTTGAAGTTTAAAACTCATAATAAATATTATGTCTCAAATGGTTCATAAATCCATCATTATTTGAAGGGTACGAGACATCACGTGGCTAGGATTTTAATCAGCTATTCATGTTAAAATTACTTGAATCGAACACTAGATCGATCTTTCAATTTCGAAAACCTATAGGTTTATATTAAGATAAATTTGTTTGGTAGCTCAAAATCATCATAACATGAACCGCATAACGAGTTTTATGCAATTTACTTGCAAAATCACATTAATAAGTTCACTAAGATGGGATTAAACCTCCTTTGTGTCATTTCATCAAAACTAAAATTTGAATTGTCTATATATAAAAATTTCTTGGTACTTAGTATTATACTCCAACCAAGACCTTAGGAATCAAACCTATTGATTTAAGCCTTAAAAAACTCAAACTCCTTGCCCTTCAAGCAAAGGTATTTCTCACACACCAATAAGACACTTCATTTTATTTCCATAATTTTTCTATCGTTAGATAATTTTTCTGAACTAAGTCATACACATAAAACTAATTTAAACATAAAAAAAGGAACCACTATTTTAATCTGAACTTCATTCATACCCACAAATACAACTAAATTATGATTCGAACTTTTCATTGAAATACACTAATATACAATGTGTGTAACATTGAATTTCAGTTTCTGATCTAACCGACCGGAATTTTCGGATTTGACTGACATTGACCGAATTTGACCACACTTAAATACCAGCCCCTTTCCCGCTGGTTTGGTGACCGGTACCGGTTGTACCCGGTTGAACCGGCCGGCAAGAAACCGTTTTGACAACCATGAAATACAGATACAACTTGAATTATGATTCCAATAAATTATCACTGGAATGCATACTTTTCATATTCAATGCTCCTTTGAGTCCTTTCCCAACGTGGAATGGTGTCTGAGCCAGAGAAATTCAAAGTATAAACCCCACAAACTGCCTCACATCAGAAATCAATAATTGAATGGAAATTTACTGTATTTCTTGTGGGCAGCGACCAGTCTGTCATGTTCTTGTCGCCCCCTCAATCATAAAGTTAAAACACTTATTTCTTCCCCAACATAATTTAGTACATAAATAATAAAAGCACATTTATTCATTAGCCTAACTTTATTTGTGGGACTATCACATCAACCACTACCCGTATATCGAATGATAACTTTGAAATGATAAGATCTTATTCAACAATAACAATACTTGTATGGCAAATTATTATATCAATGATCTAATAGTACCAATTATAAAATGTCGATTTAAGGTGATCGGATTATATTCCCACAATTAAATGACTCTTATATGTTAGATAATGACATCATTGATTTAACAATATCTGTTACATAATGATAATGACCTTAATGTGATCAGATCGTATTCATAAACAATAATACAATCAGTCTCGTATGTTGTTTTATTGAGCATGTGTGGAACAATACCAAGCCACATACCACCCCTAGTCATTAGACAAATAAGATTGTATTTGCATATTCTTTTAGATTGACAAAAAAAAAAGTGTCAAGTGTACTCAATTTGCATGGTTGGAAGAAACCCCATCAAGGCTAACTCAACTTAGCAACCTTATAATCCGCTAGTCGATCGACAAGTGTGTGCTCCTAATTAGCATTACTTGTGGGATTCAAAGACAGAAATGGTTGTTTTAACTTAATGATGTGGGTTGATGCCACGTGTCCAACACCCATCTGTGTTAACTACCTACCTTTGCTATCTATCCACCACCATGTGGCATATGCTATATTGCTAACCATCTCCAAAGAAGTGTCCCCTTCAAACTTCCAAATACTACGCCGTTTCGAATTGCACAAGAAACAAACAAACAAACCCTGTTTGGAGCTAAACTTACGTCTTGGATTTTGGTCTCTCACCACACTCTTCACACTTGCATACTGAATTTAAGGGGCAGCACACTACTACTCCTGCCAAGGTGCAAACCTACTTCTCCTCGATCACTCACTTTGGTCCCCTTTTCAACCCCATCCTTTTCCACATTTAACCATTTTGTATTCCAATTCACTTGCCTCATTGAAATGAATCTCTCGGTCAAGAAATGCACACATAATTCACATGAATGGAAAGGTGAAAGGTAGGTTGGGAGTCACAGAGTTCGAGTTGTTACATGTTTAGTACAAACTATACATATCGTTAAGTTAGCGAAAAATGGACTAGAAAAGTAAGAAAGAGAATGAGATCTAATCACTTAAGCGTAAGCGTTCAAGTAACTAAAACATTCATTCGAGTGTGAATGACAATGTCTGGATCTATAATAAAAGGAAGTTAATATGAGATAACCGGACTTGAAGAGAAAAATGTAAGGAGGTAAATGAACATAATTAAGGATTTGTTCAAAAGGGTTTTGAGTTATAATTGTTTTGTATAAGCATGCATCGTGCTAATGTTTGCTGGTTAAGACACTTCGACCTACCATCTATTCAACAATCAATTGTTAACAAGTATGAGTTAGTTGGAAAAAACCGGTGGATACTAAGCAAACAAACCCACACATAAGAAATATAAGAAACTAAACTCTTACCACCTAAACTTTCGTATATAAATAGCATATTAATATGATTTGAACCAATTAAACGAATACGATCAGGTAAATACGAATCTACCAAATCCCATAAAAAAGTTAGAAAGCAACAGAAGAGGGAGACAACTAACAAGTTGTACCAAAAAGTTTTGCAACCTACCCTTCAAATTTAAGTGTGAGTTTGATAGGGGAGGCACATTTATTAATTTAATTATGTTATGTGAACATAAACTATAAGAATACAATAATTCTCTCTCTCTCTCTCTCTCTTCCCAATCCAAAGATGGTGAGTTAGATGGAGAACGTTTAGCCATACAGTTCACCAACCCGTCTCCTACAAGCTGCCGCTCTGTTGTTTGTTGATTTCACCTCATGATTCCCTCTCTCCCCTTCTCCTTGCCTCTTGCTATAAATAGAAACCCCACATAGCCCTTTTGACAAAACAGAGCAATCAAAGTAGAAAGAAAAGAACAGAGAAAACAGAGCATTTCGAAACTGAATCTCAAGAAAGAAAGCAAGCAAGAAGAATTGCGGAAATGGGTTCTGACCTTCCAGATCATCCAGTTTGCGTTCTCGACGCTTCGAGCTACGTGGGTTTTTGGATTCTCAAGGGTTTGTTGAGCAGAGGGTACTCAGTTCATGCCGCTATCCAGAACAAGAAAGGTAAGAGGAAAACAGAGGATCAAGTTTTTTTTTTTTTCTTTCTTTCTTTCTCTTCCTCTTTTCTGTAGTTGGACAAAATAAATTCATGGGTTTTGGTTACTTTCGGGTTTTGCAGGGGGAGAAGCTACAGAGATCGAGAAGAAGATAATGGAAATGGCGAAAGAAGATGACACAAAGCTTGTGGTGTTTGGAGTGGACGTGTTGGATTACCAGAGCATTTTAGTTGCTCTGAAATCCTGCTCTGGCGTCTTCTGCTGCTTGGATTTCCAGGACCCGTACGATGTAAGTTCCTGAGGTTGAAGCTTAATCGATTTCGGTTCGAACCTTGAGACCAACAACATTATGTATTAAGGTTTTAAGAGTATAATCCAGTTTTGTGTAATTGAGCAGGAGAAGATGGTGGATTTGGAGGTCAGAGGAGCGATCAATGTGGTGGAAGCGTGCGCTCAGACCGACTCCATAGCCAAAATCGTGTTCACTTCTTCCCTGACGGCTGCGATTTGGAGGGAGAACATTTGTTCGGAGAAGGATGTGGATGAGAGGTCATGGAGTGACCAATCGTTCTGCAGGAAATTCAAGGTTTGTTTGTTTGTTTATTTATTGTTGATTGTCAAAGTCCCAAGCTTTGGTTATTTTCTTGTTGAAGTTTAGGTAATACTAAACTTTTGGTTTATAAAAACAGAGGAGTTAGGAGGTTGCCTGGCCGGCGCCGGGAAGTAACCGGAATTTGGTTATAAGTAAAAACTTGTTACGTCAAACATTTAGATCGAAATTTACTTCATTATTCCACACAAAAAAATTACTTCAGTAGCGCCATAATTACAGTGAAATATGAATTATATATTTGCATACTAGCTTCAAGCTAAATAACTTAGATATTTACGCCGTGACAAAACATTAGCTGACTTAATCTCTTATACATAGTTGTGTGATAAGATCGATGGATAATTTATTTCTAATAAAAGTAACCGAAATTTTGGCAGGAATTCACTTCAATATCGTACTAATTCACAGTGAAATATGAATTATATACATGCATAATAGCTTCAATCTAAAAAAACTCATATATACGTTATTGACTTCATCTCTAATACATGATAAGATTGATGGACACTTTTTCAAACATAGTACGAAATTTGGGATTAATTACTCGGATGATTGTACCTAACTTGAATAGAGAAGTGGAGGCACATACTTTCAAACCCATGTGGTTTGGCTCAGATTGAGTTTTCCAGCTGTTATTTTGTCAATCCCATTAATGTCATCCAACAACTTGAAACATAACAGTACATTGGCCTTTTTCCTTTCTCAATTTATTGTTTGTTCCAGCTGTGGTATGCATTGGCAAAGACACTCTCAGAACAGGCAGCATGGGCACTAGCCATGGACAGAGATCTCAACATGGTCTCCATCAACCCCGGCCTCGTACTCGGCCCTAGCGTCTCACAACAGAATCCTCGATCGACCATGGCGTATCTCAAAGGTGCGCGGGTGTTACTTTTTTATGTAAACATTTTCTCGACGTTCAGAACTTAGTAATGTGCAACCATTTTTGTTTGCAAATTCATTCGCTCATGTATCTCTCGAGTTTGTTCTGTCGCTGAATGGATGTAAAATGGTTGCAGGAGCGGCCCAAATGTTCGAGAACGGAGTTCTGGCCTACGTGAATGTGAATTTCCTAGTCAGTGTTCACATTCGAGCTATGGAGGACACATCCACATGCGGCCGGTACTTGTGTTTTGATCAGATTGTGAACACAGAAGAAGAAGCTGTCAAAATTGCACAAGGATTGAGCCCTTTGATCTCACTACCACAAAGGTAAGAAAGTTTTTACCTTTTTCAGTGAAATGTACATTCTTCCTCTTTGTTGTTTTACTTACTTTCTTTTTCAAATTTTTACCGCAGCTATGAGTGTGGAGGAAGTGAGGTCTATGAGGAAAGGTTGAGAAACAAGAAGTTGAATAAGCTTGTTGAGGGGACTGCTTATTGATGAATAGGACACCACCAAAAGATGTTGGCATTAGAGGGAACCTTTTTTAATTGTTTTGGAATGTAAATATATTATTGGGTAATTCAATTACTTCGAGTTTTAATTTCTTGTCGGATCCAATTTATTACCATTATATAGTTAGTAAAAAATTCGTGTTTAAGGTAGTGAATCTGATAATAAAATTCATGAGTGACAAGTCTCTTCATACTAAACAACATAGGTATATATCATCACATGATTACAGAAGCAGAAAAGAACATCTTAGTACATTACATAAATTTGCATATGGGTACCAACTACCAAGTCAATATTAGTCACCTTCCTTTTGGCTATGAGCTAGTTCAATCAAGTGACTAGCTTCTTGAGACTAGCTAAAACCTGATTGATACCAGGTCTCTCTTGTGGGACGTCAGACGAACAAGCAACACCTGTATCGAGAACCGAGATCAGAGTCCCCTCTAATGTTTGGTCGATAAGTAATTCGTTGAGCAGAGTTGGATCCACAACTTCAGTGAGGAGCTGGTGTTGAGATAAAGCATTTTTTACAAGGGTTTGAAGGCGCAAACCATCTCCGAAAATCTCATCCGTTGGTCTTCTTCCAGTGAACAGTTCAAGCAGGAGGATCCCGTAACTGTACACATCACCTTGTGTCGAGACTTCGTTTCCCATGCCATATTCTACAATTGAGCAACAAGAAAAAATCTTGTCAAGAAAAACAAAATGACAATGAAAAGAAGCATGTTTCATTATTTTTTAGAGTGTCTCATAGTTCAACTTCAACACAAGGTCATTAAAATAAATCGAGTTTGTTCGAATCGAAAATTCGATAGCATATCACTAGATGATCATTTACCTGGAGGGGCATAGCCAATCGTTCCCTTTATGCCAATAGAACTTGATATCTCACCTCTTGCAGAAGGATTGTTGACTGAAAGAAATCTTGCTAACCCAAAATCAGCAACATGACCTATCTTTTCCTCATCAAGTAGGATATTGTTGGGCTTGAGATCACAATGAACAATGGGTGTTCCACATTCATATTCATGGTGAAGATAGTCCAGTGCACAGGCTATGTCAATCGCAATATTTAGCCTCTGGTGGAAGTGCAAGCACCTTGGAGTTTCATCAACAGTACTTTCCACTGGATGCAACCAATCTTCCAGACTTCCATTACTCATGAACTCATAGATGAGAGCTTTAAAATCATTCCCTTGATGATCAGCTCCTGAACACACTGTTATGATCCTCACAAGATTTCTATGCCTGATGTTCTTCAAGGCTAGACATTCTGCCATGAAGCTCTTAGAACCTCCACGACGCTGGAGGTTGAATACCTTCACAGCAACAATGGATCCATTCTCGAGAACTCCTTTATACACAGAACCAAAGCTTCCCAAACCTATCAGAGCTGATGTGGAAAAACCATCTGTAGCTCTGAAGAGCTTTTGGTAAGATAGTTGCATTTCCACATCACCTGCTGAAACTGTATCTGGTTTTCCTCTCTTTTTAATCCAGAAGATAAACAAGCAAGAATCCATAAAGGTTAGAAACAGTAGAACAGATATTACTGATATAATAATCTTCCACTTAAGGCTCAGTTTCTTCTTCGGATAGGAGAATCTACAAGGTGGAAGCTGGAGTCCTGCAATACCTCCACAAAGCCTGCCATTTCCCTTGATGGAAATGATGCTTCCATTTTTCAAGACTCCCCCTTGAGGCACTTCGCCCTCGAAATTGTTATACGACAAGTTCAACAGCTCCAGATATTTCATGTCCTGAAAAAATTCTGGAATTTTACCAGATAAATTGTTGGTTGAGACATCAAAGCGTTCCATGCCTCTCAATGAACTTAGAGAAGAAGGAATGACTCCTCGCAAGAGATTGCGTTGTAAGTTCACTAACTCCAATCTGATACAACTCCCAAGACTACTAGGAATAGTTCCTGACAGCATGTTGTGAGACAGATCCAATGTACCCAAGTTTTTCAGGTTTCCCACTTCTGCAGAAAGAGCACCCGAGAAACGATTATGAGACAAGTTCAAGGCTCGTGCCAGAGAGGCAATGCCCATGACTTGTTCAGGAATGGCACCACTGAGATTGTTGTCAGACAGGTCCAAAGCTATTAGATTTTGACAGTTCCCAATGGAGACAGGGATTCCTTCCTGTAGGCGGTTAGCAGCTAGACTCAGGTATATCAATCTAGTCAAGTTTCCAATAGACGATGGAACAGATCCTGAAATACTGTTGTGACTCAAATCCAAGCTCTCCAGAGCTTGTATGTCTCCGATGTCGGATGGGATTGTACCTGAGAGATGATTATGAGTTGCCTCGAACATCTGCAGGTTGACGAGGTTGTGTATCCCATGTGGAATGCTTCCTGAGATTCTGGTGCCGCTCATGTTTAGATACTTCATGCTGGTTGACAAGTTGGCAATGCTCTCAGGGAAGCTGCCTCCAAAGTTGTTGTCGCCAATCATTAGGACTTCCAGACTAGTGGAATTTGTCAAGGAAGAGATGATGGAACTTAGATCACCGATTGCCCTTCTCCCAAGAAAGGTCCTTTCATAAGAAAGACCCTGAGGTTGCGACAGCCTGCCATGCTGGGCATACTCCCCGTGAAATTGTTGTATTGGAGTTGAAGTGTAACCATGTTCGAAGCATTGGATAAGGAAGCTGGAACACTGCCAGTAAGTTGGTTAGAAGACACAGCCAACTCGAAAAGATTCGGAAGCGATTTCCCCAGGTTCGTGGGAAGACTGCCATGAATCTGATTCACAGCAAAGGCCACACTTCCCAGGGAAGAAATGTTGAATATGGAAGCAGGGATTTCACCAGAGAAGTTGTTGAGATTCAGTTGCAGTACCATGAGACTCTTCATCTGGCCTAGAGTTTCAGGAACTCTCCCACTGAGCCCGTTCTCGCCTAGTGAAAGTATCCGAAGAGATGACAAGTTGCCATAGGAAGGAGGAATGCTTCCAGTTAGATTGTTAATGTGTGCTATAAAGATCCCAAGCCTACTATTCATGGAGTCATTCAGCAGTCGTGGCAGCTCGCCCACCAATTTGTTATTGGCGGCCTGGAACATAGTGAGGGCCGAGCATGGCGAGAGGAGGTTGGATGGGATCTCACCGGTGAGCGAGTTGTTGTAAAGGTACAACCATTCCAATCTGCATAGGCTGCCGATTTCAGGAGGGATCCCTTTGCTGAAGCTGTTGTTGTGTAGATAAAGCCTCTTCAAGAAGCTGAGATTGTTGTAAGGCGAAATGGAGCCCGCCAACTTCTGAGAGCGCAGGTCCAGAACCGTGACCCTGCCTACATGTCTTTTGGAACAAGACACGCCATACCACTGACAGAAGTGGGTGGAATCGTTCCATGAGCTCAGAGCCCTCAAAGGGTCGCTAGAGATCATGGCCTTGAACTCCAGCAATGCCATGCGATCCGTCTCGTTACTGAGAACTCCAGCTCCAGAGGCGGCTGCAGCTGCAGTAAGGAGGCACAACTGAAGAGGAAGAAGTAGAGCTGCTGCAGCAACAACCCCAAATGCACTGGAACAAGTTCCTGATAGACCCATATGCATGGTTTTCGACTTTTTGCTATCTTTCTCTCTTTCTTGCTATCAGATCGTTTGAGATGGTGTAGTATTATTAATACAAGTTGGTGGGCTCAACATTTCTTCTCTCGTTATTCCAACGACTTTAGATATGACTCTGTGGGGTCGTCGCCAGAGGAGAGCTGCAGGACCCATAAGAACCTGTAACATAAGCATACAGACTTTCAAGTTTCAACCCCATTTCTCAAGCAACATCACAATCTGTGACTATCATGACCCTGGAAATTTATAACAGACCAGAAGATGGGTCCAAGCTGTGGAAACTAAAACCTTGAGGATGTCATTGTGGGACTCTACGCGATGATAAACAAATCACTACATTATTTCTACTCAGACAAAAGCATAAAGACAAAGCTCACTCTATGAGACTATGACCAATCTGAGTATAATTTGGTGTGGATATAATGAACCATAATGGAAGGCAAGGAAGTCGATCTCTTTCAAGCCAACACATATATTGAAATAAACAAATCATACTTGGTCAAGCAAGTGGCTTCTTTAGCCTTGCTAAGACTTGACTGAGACTTGGTCTCTCTTGCGTATGAGTCTGAAGAAAAAGCAACACCTGTATTCATATGGAAGTCACAACCTTCTCTGATATTCGACGAGAATATAGTTGGTTGAGTAAAACTGGATCCACAACTTCAGGTAATTAAGAGCTGTTGTTGGAATAGAGCATTTTTTAACAAAGTTCTTCTGTTAACAAAGTTCTTTTACTTGACAAAGACATAGTTCATGGAGTAAAATGACTTAAACATGTGATTCGGAAAGAAAAAAAAAAGTACAACAGTTTGATTCTTATATAAAAAATAGGGGGAAAAGTTACTTGCAAATAGAAAAACATGATTAATGAAGTCAAATTATTATGTGTCGATGATGAAGCCAATGAATTTCTTCAGACATAAGAAAGCTCCTCTCAATTGAAACAGCCCTAATTTGGAGGATAATTCGATAAGCATTTTCACAATGTTACTACAGGCCTTCAACCCTTTCCCTAGTTCCTTGTTTTACAGTGTTGAAGTTGGTATCACAAACAACAAACAGAACAAAATCATGGGGTCGTGTAGTTTCTCTCCCTCGGTGCTGCTCTTTACAGTTAACACAAAACAAAGCAATGAAGCATTCATCTTGCAGCAATGGCTGCTAAACAAGAGATGGAAGATCTCCTGCGTTTCGCACCCCAGTATATATTCAACTCTGTTATCACCTTTTTTTTGGTGCCAAGGTAGCCCTGACAGTTTGAAGCCCCGCAGCAGCACTTCACTTCGGGTCCAAACTGCACGAATCTAGAGCAAAACGAAACGAAAACCACCCGAGTTCCATAACTCAGTAGCTTTTTTTTTTTTGGTAGAAACTGTTATATTACTCGACAAAGGCTGCAGCATGTTTAAGTAATGTGTACCTGTAATCATATGTCAATGGTTCTCCAACTTTGATGGACCGAGCAGCAAAAACACCAACCCGTGTCTCCCCCTCAACTTGCCTACGTGATTCCCTTAAGATTTTAAGTTACAAGTCAAAAGCATTGTACCTGGTTCTTCACTAATGAAATGGATCTTTGGAATGGCAGTGCAGCAATGAGTAAAGATGGTACTAACCACTTTTCAAGCATGCAGTTGGGATCACAACTGTGGTTCAAGAAACGAGATGTGTTTCCCTTGTAGGTGGCATCTATTGTGAAGTTCTTGTGTATTTCGCACATGTAGAAGTTCTGAACTCCCCTGTACTTCATGTCCCAAAGCCTTTGCTCGCATAGTGCATCACTAATGACTGAAGTAGTTGAACGCTGCATTGAAGTGATCAGGCTATGGGAGATGTGTAAACATGTACATTATGATTATTGAAGCTGTAATTGAAGGCCCATCTTGTGAATAAGTTATGCTTATGCATGTTGGCACGGAAGAAACTATAGCGATAACATCAAGGGCAGAGTAAGTTTATACCTTCCCCAATGTACTCTATGACAAATTCACCTTTGTTTATCGGTTCAGCTGCCACTACCCCCCAACCACAAAGCTCTGTCTGAGAAAGAAACAAAGTTCAGTTATATACCCAACTGGGGAACTAGTTGCTACCAATGTAAAGAAAGTCCCTTTGCAAAATGCAAGATCCCAAGAAATCGCTTTTATAGTTCAGTGGAAAAAGCAGTAAGACAGGATGGTCAGGTTGTTTCTTAGTCTGGACAAGCTGAATCGCTTTCTTTCTCCCTACATCTTATTACATTTCAATGCAACTTCCCTTCCTCAACCTTTTTTCTCCCTACAGACAGTGGTTGTGAAACTATACATTTAATTCTTACCTTGACAATTCTGATCTTTTTATCCTTGCGAAAGGGCCGGTTGGTGCAATTTTCAGAGCAACGGCAAGACTTGGAGCAACTTATGCATTGGACCCTGGAAGAGATGCACAAAGATTTCAACTTACTAAGAAGCCAAGATGTATGGATCTTGACACGCAATACACATAGAAAACACGAGGCCCTAACAAGATAATCTTGAGCAATTAGCTAAATATACTTAAAGTCTAAGTTGCGAAGAACACTGTGTTTTCGAATAAATGAAGGGGACAATATGGTGGGTACATGCAAATGGCTATTATTTCCATAGGATTCGGCAGCACCTAACATTTCACTAGATATCAAGATATGTCATCTACCCAAAAGCCAAGTGCATTCTCAAAGCTACAAGATGTGTAGTTCATTAATAATGCAATGTTCTAGGCTTAGAAACCTGTTAAAGGAGCCCTTTAAAAGTTTCAGAGCCCAAAAAAATGGCGAGAAGCTCATGTTTGAGCGGACCAAATTTAAAGAAAAATCCACGGACCTTAGCACAGATAGCTGAGAATAAATTAATAACAAGTGAGGGCAGAAGTTCGTTGTTCATCTCTGGTACCTGCATACACAGTTTTCACAGCATATAGGACTGCAGTTTGTGCATCCATTATCATTGCCAGCAGCAATATCATGTTTCTTCTTGACCATGTAAATATCTAGCTTATGTTAAGGCACATCATCTGGGGGAAAATATCCATCAAACCAGCACAAAAAGTAAAGGGGGAATTGAGATAGTAGAAGAACATGCAACTAATGACCAATTATATGAGGTCAGTTCGAAATGGTAGCAAGCACAGGATACTGCGCCTGATGTGCACATAAGGAGGGGGCTCTAGTTTATTCTCCATCAGGCCCTTCCACGTCAAGTCAATCTTGAACTCTTCCTCAACATATGGCAGGGGCAATCGAAGGAATATCTCCTTAGGATAAGAATCATAAATGTTAGATTTCAGCAAGTACTTCAAATGTTCATCACACTTAAGAATCAAGGATAAACAGTGTTGTCTCTTAATAAGTTGGCCTCCAGCATTAATTTTCTTCCTGCTGGAGAAAAACGAGAACAGGTTTCTAACGTCAAAATGGTATAAGCTACTTAGAAGCAGCTAGTACATTATACTGCCATCTATTATTTAGCAAGCAGTCATATCCACTTCTGGTCAATTAAGGTTTTTCCTCAGATTAGCTTGATATAACAACCATTGTCAAGTCTCAGATAATTTTGACACCAGAAATCAGGCCTACAACCAGTCAGCCTAATCTCTTCTATTCGTGAGACTAGAGCTGGTTGCCTGAGTCTTTAATTTTATCTTTCCCATCTCTGAATCGTGCTTTGAAATATATTGATACATTTCACAATGTAATAAAAAGCTGTATCTGCATGAACTCTGACCTCGATATCACTGGCTGGTACCATGTGCCCCTCATTCTACAAATATACGAGTCCTGTCAGCCAGCCTAATCAATAAAAAATAAGGATGAAATATAGAATGCTCCAAATAAAGGAAAAGATTATGCAAATGGCACAGCCTAGACATATTGAATTGTCAATATCATGCCAACCCCGTCACTAAAATAAACATTCACACTAAGAGTCATTTAGTTTCCATATTTGGATTCCTGGACCTTAGCTGTATGCTAACCACATCCACTATGAGAATAAGTTGAGTTGAAAAATATGACTGGTGTGCCCACTGCTCACTATAAATAGCTACACAGGAATAGAAGCATACGTGCAACACTGTTGATGCATCTGATTGGTGGGATATGATGGGCACCACAGGAAAAAAAATTTGGATATAGTATCTGCCTTGGACTAAGATTATCAATCTAAAAAGAATGCAGTTTGAGTTTACTGATTATACATTTATGTGATAAAGCAGCCGAAACCTGGAAAAACAATATGGACAATGATAAGCAGTTTGGCCTTGTATTGAGTGAACTTTTGAAACATGCATACTTCAAAGGTGGAACTATGTTTACATGGTAAATTTCTGGTCTGGAAACATTAGTTTGAGTAGAGAACACACAAAGAGCCCTTAATCGTGGACTTTGCTTAAGAGTAATCACTAGCTTCTGAAGACTATTCAAAGCGCAGCGAGAAGTAAGAGTAGGTAATGTAAACTGTATGAGGATGGGACACTTTAAGCATATCTGCAGAACAATGTGCAAAATGAAACTGAAATTTCTTAAAAGCAAAACGAAAGCAAGAGGATCGAGAATATTAGCTGGATGTGCAATCATCAGTGGAGCTTGATATATCTTACGGTTAAGCTCATCTAGTCATATACAGCATTCAAGGTTTCCAATCAAAATACAATATGTTATCTTTCTGAAAACAATCATGCATCAGAGACAAGGACCTTTGACAAGCCATGATTAGAGTAAAAAAGAAGAGGTTAACCTTCATATCCAGTCTCCAATCATTCGGATGCCAATCCAGTCTCCAATCATCTGGATGCCTCCAACAAATTGCGTGTCCTGGTCGGTCTATCAAATGGATTATAGTATCCGGCCATGGTGCACACTTATCATGTGAAGCATTTAAGCATTGGACACACCTCCAGTGCAGTTTCTGACTGCAAACAAAGCATGCCTGTCCATGACAATATTCAACCAAACAATAAGAAGATTAATGACTTAACAATCAGAGGAATCGTGAACCATTAATCAAGCTTACATGCTGAGGGCACTTGAATTTCTTCACATTTGAGACTTTAAACGTTTCCTTGACACACTGCGAGTGATACACCCCTATGCAGTTCTGAACAGAGCACGTAACAAGCTCATCTCCCAGATCTATAAATCCACGGCAAACACGACATTCAACCTGAACCAGATCCAAAAAACGCATCAAACCCTTTTACTGTAACCACTTCTACTCCAACAATCAACCACCAAAGTTGACAGACTCAAACACAGACAAGGAAAGGAAATGGAAAATTCGAATCACCATTCTCTTTCCACCGCCAAGAAACGGAAGGTAGCAGCTGGATTTCGAAGCCCCCGATTCCATCTTCTTAAGGGCCCAATCGCTCACATAATCCTCCAAACGCTTCGCACCGCAACCTTTCTTCGCTCGATTTGGCACCCCGTCGTGGCACCGCCTCAGCACCTTAATCAAACCTCCATTGCATCGCTTCTTCCCGCTCGGCAACCCAAGGTTGAGGTTCCAGTCGCAGCCGTTAACTACAGCTTTGACCGGACAGTTACCTTCGAGCTCACCATCCTCAGGAGCCGGACAAGGAACAGAAGAAGAAGGGAGACTCATCAGAGTCGAGCAGTAAGTGCGAGTGAGGGATGCATTGCCCAGGTCCGGCATTGGTTGAAAACAAACTCGCCGGAGATCCAGAGAGGAAGAAACGACGGAACCCTAGCTATTTTGCCTTAACAGATTTTGACCAGATAAATTGGGCGGGAAAATGTGAAATATCTCAGATGGACGGCGGAGGAAGGAAATGACGGTGAGGTATCGTGAGAAGAGACTATTTTTACGAGATTGCCCGGTGATTGTAGCCTTTGGGCTTTGATAAATAAGAATGGAGCGTCGGCCCATTGAAAAATACGTAAAGATAGATTAAAATTGGGCCTAGCGAGTTGGCCCATTACTCTTTACCGCAGGCCCATATACAAATTTACAACATGTGGTTTTCACAACAGCATAGCTCCTCAGTCCTTGTTGGACCAGGATTAGTAGCTTCTGAGCGATCTACGTGGAAATGTCCACTTATATCCTTGTAAAGGATTGTCTATTCATCTTATATACCTACTCCTAATAGATTGCAAGAAATCTACAGCAGGCTCCCTTCTGGAATCACCATTGATGGTGTTACTCCTTTGCTTTTCAGCTTCCTTCTCTGCCTTTCGCCTCTCGAGTTCGACACGCTTGATGTTTTCCTGGTGTGCTCGAGCAAAGATCTTCTCGAAATTCATCAGAGTAGAGACGACTGCAGAATCAAGCAATGCATAGAAAACAAAGACCTCTTAGATTTTCCAGTACACGAAAGCACAACATGACTTGGGCTACAAGGATCTGAGGACATTTAAGTAAAGCGTAGCGATGTTCGAAAACCTTGCTCAAAAGGGCAGCGGGCTGGATCTTCGCCGAAATATACAGCCAATGCATCTACATTTCTACCCTGGGAAGGCAGAAGTTCAAGAATTTGTCATGAGAAACAAATTCTTCCTGGGCAAGGTAGCACCATGAATGCTAACGAATTAGAGATTGAAGATTATGCTTACGACACTGGAATAGAGTGAGCTCAAGGACTTCACTTCTCTTTCTGCGCAGCTCAGGAATGCCCTCATGATCTGGAAGTGTAGTAGACAAGGAGATGAATGTATGAAAAATTAAGCCTAATCTCAGTAGAGAAGCCATTAGTTCATCATTAATGGTCTCCAAACTTGCTGATTAATAACAGAACAGTCACTTCGTTCAGTACCCATTTAATATTTCGTTAGTTCGGCTAAGTTAGCATACCAATTAATAGGATCGCCACATCACTACATGATACACGCCTGACCCCCATCGGTTTTGGTGACATGGCAAGCCAATGTGGCATGCTGACTCGGCCAAATAAACCACAAATCAGATGGAACAATCTATTTTGTTACAGATCACTTGGTTAAGTTAGAGGTTCTGCTAAATGACCATGCTGTTACAAACCTGAAAGACTAGTTCGCAATCCACAAACAATGGTAACAAACGCAGAGAAATGCAAGATTACCTTACAGAAGTATTCTGACACTTCACCATCATTCTTCTCTGAGGCTGCCAACTCTTGTAGAACTTTCTCCAGACCTTTGCTAATGGCTTGCATCTCCTCGGCTAAATATTTCAGTTGTATCTGCAGAGGGAAAACTTGTGGCACTCAAGATCAGCCATAACCAGAAGGCTCTAGCTAGCTGCATTGAATATTTCCACAAACAAAAAAAGAGAAAAGATATATCACTTTTGTTGCAGTCTGCAAGCTCACAAGGTCTTTGGAGAAGTCCAGGAGTTCTGGCATCTTCGCTGCAAATGTCTAGAAACCAAAGAAGTAAAAATGAAGGGGTGAGAGGAATCAGAAATGATCTAGGGAAGTTCCATGGGTTTTCACCTCAAATAAGTTGATAAAAGTCACTCCCACCTTACAAAGATAGTGCATGAGGGTCATCTTGTTGTCCCTGGATCGAGTATCCGTGAGTTTGAGGAGACTGTCTAACCGAAAGCCAACAGCAGAACCTGGCGAAATATGAATGTTAGAATCAGTTGGAAGTTTCTACTTTATTTCCTGCCAACATTCCTGCTGAAGCAAAGGCATACTAATTAGGAGGACATATGGAAGTAAGAACTTTGGCAACTCTTACCCCTTGCAGTTCCTTGGTTCACGGCATTTCCAAGGGAGAGAACAGATTGCATGATCCTTTTTAACTTTACTGAACTTCTTATCTGTGTGATTACATATTGTTCATGGTGTTTTGTAAGTTGAAAAAAATTCGGAGATGAAAAAACAATAAAAAACACATAACAGAAAGTAAGAAGAAGAAAACTTGCCTCTTCGGCTGCTGAATTAACAACATTCAAGTTTCTCTTTAGGTCAGAAACCTGCTGGGAGAACTGCATCTTGAATGAAAACACCCTTAACTTGGACTCTACCCGTGGCACTTTCATTAGTTCCAAGAAGAACTATCATGAACATACAGAGTGAGCTAAGATCAGACTGTAACATACACCCCAAGTTATTATCAAATGGCAAATAGGAGTTCAAACTTTGCACCATTTCACATTTCCCCAAGCTTTCCTTGTCCCCTTTATAGCCCTGAATTGTTGGAAGATTCAAGTTTAGTCTATTGTCTACGTTTCGACTATAAGAAACAAATATTGAGACAGATAGCTATAAATTAATACCTTGAGCAATTCCATTTCTTCTTTAGTTGGACAAAACTTAACAAGGCTATCAACTTGATCAACATCCAATACTGAATCATCCAACGCAAGAATTGAACTCTGGAAGATGGTGATGGGGGAACGAAAAGAGTATCAGATATAATCAATGTTACCATTTAATGTGCATTATTGGTAGTGTTTAGTTCACCCAACTGTAAGTCTGTAATATGATACAGATTCTGTATCTGTAATTATAACATATTGAGACTCCTCACAAATTGTAGAGCCAACTAGCTTTAAGCTAGGATAAAGTTCATCTTACCATCAGATCATGGAGAGGAATCTTAACTTTTGTCAGCATGATCTCACAGTTGTATGCACGTCTAAGCTCAATCTGCAGAGCATCCATAAATGCAGTCATCAGTTCGTCAGCAAAGAACAATACACAAAACAAGAGATAAAAAAACAAATTTTAGCAGAACCCACTAGACTACCAGTTGAACTTTCTCAGATTTCCGTACACGACGCTTTGATTTGGCTCCAATGCCTTTCATCTCAGAACTTGGAGTAGCAGCTGCTGAAAACAGGCTCTCAAGTTCTGATATATCAAATTCAGGAGCCCTATAATAAAAAAAAGGAGCAAAAGTGTAAACTATGTTGGATTTGGAAACTGTTAACTTCCAGCACAAGGAGCGTGTGAAGAAGCGCATACAAGGATGTGTCATGAGGGTACTTCTGAGCCTCAGCCCATATGCTCCCCTGAGTTGCTCTAGTCAATTTCAGCCAATGATATGGTTTCAGGCTGGACCTTCTCGGTTGAGCTTGAATTCTTGACCGTGGCATCAACCCTGCTCGTGGTGGCCCAGGAACTAGAGGCACATTCCTGTTTGTAAGTATTCCTTTCGCAGGAGGAACAGGTGGTGGTGGTAGGGTTACTTTTGGTAAAGTAGATGGTGGAGGAGGTGGAGGAGAAGGAGGATCTGGCTGTCGTTTAGATGGTGGTGACTTTACCTGCTTAGCAAGCAAAGGTGGTAAAGGAGGAGGAAGAGGTGGATCATTGCATGTTGCAGCTTTGTTGGTTGGCTTTGCTTTGACTGTTCTGACAGGTGAATTTCTAGCCAAGGGTAACTGAGGTAAAGGCGGTGGAGGAGGAATTGGTGATTTCTTAGCTTCAGAAGAAGTTCCATTGTTTGTAGAATCATGATGAGATTGGGATGAAGGTTGAGGTAGTAGCTTCACATCAAATGTGGCACTGAGGTGAACAGGTTTCCTGACATTTCTAACGTGAGAGGAAACAGCTATGGCTGCTGGACTTAAATGCGCAGATTCATCAGTTGCAGTAGATGAAGCATGATCGTGTAACAATGCTGTAATGCCAAGGCCCAAGTATGCTGATACATTAGGATACCTCATAGAAACTGGAGTTTGAGGGATTCTTGGAGAACATATATTCTTCGACGGAGCAGGCACTTTGATAGAAGAAACACACATCCCGCCTCCATGTTCAATACTACTAGTTTCTAAACATGGTTCCTCTGACTTCGCATCACGAGATGGCTTGCTAGACAAGGCAGGAGGCACAGATTGCTTCTTTAAATCAATGGATTCATGGTCTTCAACCTTGTCTTTCAAATCCTTCAACAGTCTAGCGTTCTTCCCCGTTAATGGATCAACCACATCAGATGCTTCCCAAGGAAGGCATTCTTTCTCCTCTAGAACAAGTGAACCAGTTGGAGCAGCATACTCCATTTCTGAAACCAGAACCTTAAGTTCCATATGTGAAGGAAAAAAAGTCATCAATTGGCAACACTTAAAAGATAAACAATGTTACCAAAAGCAGCAGAAACATCGATATAGCTCTACTACCTTGAAGTTCTTAGGACACTCAAGTTTGGAGTTCCAAAGCGCCTCAGCCTGTTCTTTACTAAAAATTAGGACATTTGGCCTAATGGAACGTGTATGGAACATGATAACCTTGAACATTATCCCCATCATGGCTCGTCTTTCTCCAATTTGAGGGTGAAAAACATTACAATTGATTTCTACATCTGCCTACAAAGAAACAAAGGGTGCAACTTTTTGAAACAAATGTGGAAAGCTCAAAAGAACAAGCCATTTACCTTGATAAATTATAACCCAAAATCACATTTTTTTTCCTACTACCTGATTGCAATTCTGGTTCCTTCTTGGTGTTCCTAACAGAATCTGTGGAGCTCCATCATCATCATCGATGAACGGGTCCTGACCCATGGCTCCTAGCATTGGCCTACAGTCCCCTCCTCTAAGAACGATGGAATCCATTCCAAGTGTTCTGTCCAGTGTAGCAAATCCTCCCTCTTGGAAGCTGAACTCCATTAATGAATTAACAAAACTTCAGGTGAAAACTGTCCCTCAGACGAAAAACCCAATACAACCCACCATTGTTATTCTGAGAGCAAACAAAAGAGAAACTGAAATGTCAGAACTTTCAAAAGAAAACCACCCCCCAGAAAACGCAAATGAAGAGCACAATGAACTGAAACGCCACAAAGAAGAAACTGCAGGTAATGGAAGAGAAGAACCCCAACTGAACTGAAGGACGACGACGGGATTCGTTTCTCAAAAACATTAACAGCCCAAATGAGGAAAGAAAGAAAGAAGAAAGAAAGAAAGAGAGCATTAGCTACCATTAACCCTTTTCGGAGATCTCCAAGACCCCTTCTGGATTGGTACTTTCCATAACTGCAAAGCTCTCCCAAAGCTTCATATAACGTGGAGGGTGTAATGATGAAACTGTGAAGGAAAGAGAAACGAGTGAGAGTGCATATTCACTTATTCAGGAAGGAAATGGGGGTTGGAAGTAAAAAAGTAATCTTTTTTTGCTGGGTTCTTAAGAAAACCCCATCTTCTCTCTTTCCCGCCTTTTATTGTTCTAACTTATTGGGGGTAGATAGAAGTTACAGAGAGAGAGTCTGGAATTCATTTTCTTGGCATTCACACTTACTCCTTCTCCTGCCACTGTTGGTATATCCATTAGCTAGCCCACTGAGACTTTGCTTTCACTTTTTCAATCACCAGATGGCTGAGCTCTTGACAGAGACATTCATGTGCCATGGCTGGAGGTGGGGAACATAGATCTGTTAGTATTAGTGTTGGGTAGTTGTCTTCATTGTTGTTTGGCAAGAAATTAGAAAAGAAGAAAAATCCAAACAGCCCCTTAAAAGGTCGTTAGGAGTCTCTTTTTAGTCAAAGGGCACGTTGATTGGATAAAGTCGCCATCATTTCTGAAAACTGGTAAAGTAAAGATCATCCACTCATTCCTCTCAATCCTTTTACTGTCCATCTTCACTAATCTTCTACTCACTCGTCAAATCGGCCGCCGATGGCCGGAGCAGCATCGCAGTTCCTCTTCCATTCATCTCCCCGCACCGCCATCCGCCCTTCCCGCGCTTCTGCAATTCGCGCCGGCGGCAACAACAACAACGGCAAAGAAACAGGAGAAATTCGCGTCTGCACGAATCGGACCTGCCGCAAGCAAGGCTCGTTCCAAACCCTAGAGATTCTCACCGGAATCGCTCCGCCGAGCGTGTCCGTCAATTCCAGCGGCTGCTTGGGCCGCTGCGGCGCCGGCCCTAATGTCGCCGTATTGCCGCGAGGCCTGATCAGAAACCACTGCGGCACCGCCGCCCAAGCTGCTTCCTTGATGTGCGAATCCATCGGCGCGAGCTCTGCCGACGTGGCGAACACGCTGGAGGCGTTCACTATTCGGAAGAGAGCGGAAGCGGAGATGGAGAAAGGGGATTTCGCAGAAGCCGAGATCTTGCTCTCAAGGGTAAAAAGGTTCAAACTTTGAACTCCTCTTTCAGAATAAAGTGTTGATGAATGCTAATACGGAGTTCAGTGCCCAATGTGATACATAGACTGGCTTGATTGCTCGAAGAACGGTCGAGCTAGTATTTAACCAGAAATCTGATGAACAATATTGTCTCATGAAGTTGTTCAACCATCTTGTTTGCTGAATTGCAGGCTATAGGTTTGAAACCATTTGGTGGACTTCACATTATGCTCAAGTTCAGGTTTGTTTGCTAATGTGCTGATGAACATCTCAAACTACTGATCACGATGAGCATTTGGGGGCGAACAATAGAGAAATTGCTTTAAATCTCACTCAGAATTTCTCCCCTGAAGGAAGGTCGGCTGCTAGATTGGGGACGGGTGACAACTCGGGTGCTCTTGAAGATGCCAGGAAAGCTTTGGAACTGGCTCCTCGATATCCTGAGGTGAGCAGAAGAACCTCGTTTTAGCTCGAATTCGATGCACAAGTGTTTGAGGGAGATTCAAGATGATCAAAGTATGCTTCTTGGAGCAAGTGTGGGAACATGATATGTTGATGTGCAGGCTTATTTGTGCGAAGGTGATGCTTTCATGGCAATGGAGCAATATGATGCAGCTGAGGAATCGTACTCAATTTGCTTGCAGATAGAACCTACCATGCGCCGCTCCAAGTCGTTTAAGGTACCATTTAAATGGTTGTTTGAGAGATTTCCTTCTTGGTCTGTTACAGCCTGTGAATGCCTTAATTCAGGTAGATTCGATCACCGATGATGTTTATGTCTCTTTTTGTTTCCTTTGGCTTTAAATGTGGAACTCTTCATTTGTAGAAGAGAGTTTCTAATCTTCAAGAGAAGTTGACTGCTTCAGAGATGCCTTGAGTGGGCAATGGAGCCGACATCTAATAAAATTGGAGCGACACGAGCAAACAGATCCGTCACTGATGTTAGTAGATTGAAGTTTTGCTATTCCCTTGTACTGTGTTAGTCATGTTGTAACTGCAATTTTCTTTATGAATGGGTTTCAACAAACCGCTGAGACACACACACCATGGTTTTGACTTGTGACTACTTTGTGGCAATTGGAAATATGAAAGGATTCTTCATTCAGTAGAGGCATTCATCTGCTGTCCCAGTTGGGAGCGCAAGCTGCCATGCCTGTACATTCTCTACCTGGATATGACTCCGATTCAGCTCCCCCAGGAAAATGCAATGCCGATTGAGGGAAGCGATTCGCGGAGAAGCTGCAGAACATCAATACGTTTGGCATCCTTCAGAGACTTCTGCCTGAAGATTTGCAGGGAGATGGAAGACAACCCAAATATAATGTCACATCAGCTGTGTATCACATAGCTTTGACAGGTTTATTGCCAGAGATCATTTTCTCAATCTACCATATAGTCAAGATGCCACAAGCAAACTATTAGTCAGCAAGAGATTAACATCCTCCAACAGCAGCTTCCTTGAAACTTTCTTGCACCATCACCAAGCTCCAGTTGTCATCCTCCATCGAACTTGAGAAGATCAACATTTTCACAACTTCTAGTATCTCTCGCAGCCAAAAAAAAAAATCAACTGCTCAGTAGTTGGTCCTTCTCGTAGCCCTTTTATTATCAAATCAAATGTTCTCACCAGATACTTTCGTGTTTTCCGGACCCAATCTGCCAATCAACAAATAGAATTTCACCCACGAAACAGTCAATTTAGCTTGATTACTGCTTGCAAGAGCTCTAATACCACAATGTGACGAATCTTTTATTGAAACGAGTACGAGAAACTTAAGTACCAATCTCTCTCAGCCTTCATATTCGGCTGCCCACTAACCCTTACTAACGAAACAACCCAAAGAATCAACCAACTTCAGCTCTAAACTCCTGATTCGGCTGCAGACACTAACACAGGACTGGGATCCAAGTGACACAAAATAAACTTATATGACCTGACAGTAAAACAGTCTACAAATTCTCAAAAAAAACCATTGAGCGGAAGGATAAAGATCCCGAAACTCCTTCAGTTTCTCGAGCCTCGGTGACTCCAACTCTGTGCATCCATGAACGTTTAACTCCTTCAGATTTTTCAGACATAATGGATCAGACAACTTCTTGAGTGACTTGCAGCTCATCAGGGATAAAGATCTAAGTGATTCCAGTCTCTCGAGCCCATTGACTTCAGTCAACTGTTTGCACCAGGTGATGGATAGTACCTCTATATCGTGGAGACCGGACAGATCGAGGACTAGCTCAGGTGACAAGTGATGGTCGATGTCAAGTCTGGGAAATTCCAAGAGTAGCTGTTTCAGTTTTGCAAACTTGGACAGAGAACGTAGAATGCTTGCTATGATGGGGCAGCAACGGATATCCAGAGTGGTTAAAGACGACTCCCCAATTCGATACAGGCCTGGGATTTCAGGAATGAAGCCACCCGCGGGTTGTGTTCCAAGGACAACACAGTCTGACAGATGAAGTGTCTTAAGGAGCACTAGCTGCTCAATGCCGTTGAGATTAACCAGATTTGGAGCGTCAGATATTGATAAAACTTTCAGCATGCTCAACTGTCCAAGACCATTGATCTCCTGCATTCCAAGACCACTCAAGAATAGCTCGGTCAAGATGTTCAGATTCGATAGACTTGGCAGTACCTCCAGATGAGACGTATAGCTCCTGATCTCGAGTGCAGTTAAGGAAGATGGGAGGGCAGGAGGGAAATGATCACAAGAGCAGTTTACTAGACTCAGTGTTTTCAACTTGGATAGCTTCCATATATCTGATGGAATTTCAGGGCCAACGCAATCGGAAAAACTTAGCTCCTCCAAGTCCATGAGCTCTGAAAGGTTGGGAACCCGTGGAGATGACACGTATAGCACCTTTAAGCCGAGAGGCAACACTGGTAACTCTTTCGGTAGCCAGTAAACACGGTCCAAATTAAGGTGTGTAAGCGAGGATAATTCACCAATACCAGCAGGCACTTCTGTCAAATGGGCGCCGCTTGCATCGAGCTCCTGGAGATTCTGAAGCATTCGGATGTCACCAGTTAACTTGGTTATTCTAGAAACCCCGACCTTCAGCACTTTTAGATTCTCAAAATTACCTATGTGCAGTTCCCCTTCCATCATCCTGCAGCCCTCCAGATTTAAATGCTCGAGGCATCGACACAGAGACAAGTCGGGAACTGCACTTAAGTTCAGACAAGAAGATACATCCACAACTTTCAGCTTGGGTGACACCTGCAACACCAAAGTTTACCGTCACTATAAAATACTAAAAGTGAAGCAAGAAACGGAAAGGCAAGAAAGGATCAAGTATGATAACCTGAATTTCATTCCAGCCTTCCCAATCATCCGTGATAGGGCAACAACAAAGATCAAGGATTACCAATTCCTTCAAGCTAGGACCAGTGGGGATTGAACTACAGTTATCCAGTTGAAACCAGCGTAATTTTGGAAGAATGTCTTTGAAATGTCCACCCAGTTTTCCATTCCTAACCTCTAGATATTTTAAGCCAGATAGTTTCTTGAATTCTTCCTCTGTCAGCTCGAAATCATCTCCTTCCATGTCAACTTTCAGAATTTCCAACTTATCAGTTCCCTGTAGAAGAAAATTAAGAAAATATAAACACAAGCATCTGGAATTGTGTTATTGATAAATTTCGTCAAGGAGATCAAACTGCAAAATAAATGAATAATACCTCTTTATGTCTCAACATGTCCACCACATCCTCGTTGGACCATATCCTGCTGCGCTTCCATGGATTTCTGATGTTCTCCTTACGAATAATAGATCTGCCAAGAATTTTATACTGCTCATGCATCCAGAATTCCTTTCTCTCGTTGATTTTTATCAATGACTTGAGACAAAGAGACTCAACCGCTACTAGGGGATGTAAGTTGGAGTCACTCCACAAGTAGAATGGTCGGTCATAGTGCTCTCCGTTGAAAAAACAAGCAATATCAAGAAAAATCTGTTGTTCATCGGGCGTGGCATCCATTAAGACTATCTCCAATTTCTCCTCCACCTTGTCAGCAGGTATGTCTCGCAACTGATTCAACTTTGCCAGCCAAAAGCTTTTATCTTTGCGGTGAAGTAGTGAACCTATGGCCGCCAGAGCCAGAGGAAGTCCTGCTGCAACTTTTACAAAGTGATTAGATAGGGACATGTACTCTGGGGGAGGATCATCAAATCCAAATGCATGTCTACTGAAGAGTTTAAGGGCGATGTCGTCATGCATTTCCTCTACCGAGTACGGCTCACATTCTCGAGAGAACGGATCTATAACTCTCCTATCCGTCATCGTAATAATAAATCGACTATTCGAGGAAAAATCCTTCAAATCTCCCAAGATCTGTTCAAACTTGAACCCCTGAGCTACGTTGTCAAGAACGATGAGAACGCTGCTCAAACAACAAATTCTGTCTTTTATTACTTGGATTCCTTGACTGGCATCTCGCACCTTGGTATCATGCCTTAGAATGTCGGATAAAATCTTGTTTTGTAAAGTCACAACCCCATCCTTCCTTGACAATATTTCTCGCACGTCTTCAACAAAGCAGCATCGATCAAATTTTCCAGAAACGTTGTCGTAGACAGCTTTGGCTATGTTGGTTTTACCAATCCCGCTCATACCATGAATGCCAACAATTTTCACACTTTTGCTTAGTAGTCCCTTCACTTGCTCTACGTGAGGATCAATTCCAACCAACTGACTCGTGACTAACTTGTAATTCTCCATCAGAAGTGACCTCACCTTAGAGAAAACTTTTTCAAAAAGAACTCCCTGCCTGGAAATGGAACATGATTTCAATACAAAGATATGCGTCTACAGGGAACAGTAACTGTAAATAATTCAAAGCATCAAAGAAAATATAAAGATATGTATACAAATCCCTGCAGGCCATCAAAATGTAGACACGTATTGAATACTACTCGCCTTAAAATAATTAAAAACGATCACAAAGACCCTGGTAGTAATAGTATACTAAAAAATTAAGAATGTCATAACTATTTTGATGAAAAATCCTATACTTCATATGAATTTCTCAATGTCCAACCTATTCGAGCATACTTAGTGAAGGAGAAACAAACACACCCGTTATATTTCGTACTCAAATTTTTTTAATAGAATGAACACACAATTTTCTATCACGTCATCACCTTGTAAGATCAGAAAATATGCACTTGTATGATTTGGTTAATTAAACGATTTAATAAAATTAGTAGAGTAATAGACCAGAAAATATGGTTTACCTAGTTGACTTATTAACCGTCCATCCCTGTAAATCCGAGACCGTTTGAAGAGCTTCCTCCCATTCAGTTCTTGTCTCTGCATCCACTTCCCCAGCGATCCGTCGAAATGATTCCCCGAATTCACCCGTTTGATTCTTCACGTCCTCGGTGCTCACCATATAGAATATGGGAAGCATGATGTGCCCCTTCCCTTTCTCACAGCACTTCACCATGTGAGCCAGCTCTATGAGAGGGAGAGTAGTAGTAGCATAGTTCGGGGAAAAGATCGGTATGTAGATCTTGGATTCTTCGATGGACTTGATGAGCTTGTCGTCGAACTTCTCCCCCTTGGGCAGCTCTTCCACGTCGAAGAAGGTGCGGATCCCATAATGATCAAGGAACTTGTAGAGAGAATCCGCAAAATTGTAGCGGACGTCGGAGCCCCTGAAGTTGATAAAAACCTCGTAGTCTGCGGCAGGAAGAGAGAGGGAGCTCATCTTCTTCGACGTAGAGGACAAAGAAGGGATCTGCCCCATTCTGATCGGTCGAGAAAACCGACCAGGAAACCGCTCTGCAGGTATGGCAACTCAGTAAAGTGAAGTACACAAACGAATTCCGTATCAATCAGATGAACTTACCTGGAGAGTTAATTTGATAGGACAGGTTGATCGGTCGCTTCAGACCAGGAAACCGCTCTGCAGAGATGGATCAACTCAGTAAAGTGAAGCTCACAAACGAATTCCCCCAGCTAATTGGAAGTAGAAACAGAGTATCAACCAGATGAACTTACCTGGAGAGTTAATCCGATGGAAAGACGGATCAATCGGTCTCTTCCACGGGAAAGATGAAGTTGCTAGAAGGGATATCATCTTTGTCTCTCTCTCTCTCTGTACCCTGTGAGTGTTGATTTGGATGAGAAATGGAAATGAATGAGGAGACTTACAGAGCAATACGACCTGTTTCCTTCTGCAGACTATTAATAATGGCTGATTATTATTGATTAATTAAACACTGACCAGTTGAAATTGCGGGGATACAAGGACTAGGTTCAGGTCCTTAAGATCAAAAGGTTAAGAAGTTTCTTAAATATATCGCAGTATTTGGATACTAGGTAAATGGTGTGATGTCCCTCCCACCGTGATGTCGAAGTTTTTATTCACACACAGCAACTCTGACCCAATTTTCCAATCAATAGTACTAGTATAAGCATTTGTAGATATTGACTAGTTAATCGAGATTAAACAATGACCTAGAGTTGTACCTGCATTTATTTTATTTCCTCTAGTTATAATTCTAACTCGATCAAATTGTGTTACCTTCATAAAAAACAATGACCAAGTCACAGCCAAGGATTAAACAATGAGCAA